CTGAACGACAGTTTACTTTCAGAAACACTGAAGGCTTTGAAACAAAGGGATTATTGCTTTCAAAAGAGGGAAAACTTCTCAAATAACGGGTTCGTGCGAAGAATCCTTAAAACGCTTCCCGATTGGCACCACTTTTTGTCGGCAGATATGAGTGAAGACTGTCTCTATCTGAATGTCTTTGCGCCGGACTCTGCGCACAACAAGACAGTCATGGTTTGGATCCACGGCGGGGGATTCATCTCCGGATCCACAGTCTTATACGACGGCTCTATTCTGGCGGCCAGACATGACGTTATCGTCGTTTCCATCGCCTATCGATTGGGAATCTTCGGCTTCCTGTCGGCCAATGGATCCCTACTTCCCGGCAATTACGGGCTTCACGACCAGGTGTTAGCTCTTCAGTTCATCAAAGACAACATCCAGGGTTTTGGCGGAAACCCTGATAATGTCGTACTCTTTGGACAGAGCGCCGGCGCGATCAGTGTTGGCTATCACTTGATTTCTCCGTTGAGTCGACACCTGTTCCGACGAGCCATCCTTCAGAGCGGCAATCCTTTAGTGCCGTTAATGCTTACCGGAAGGAACACCCAAACTATGGCCGCCAATGATGTGATTCGAGACTTGTGTCCACTACTCGTCACAAACGAGACTCAAGAAGTGACTGAAGCCGGCGTCTCCTGTTTGCGACGCGCCAACGCCTCTCTTCTCACGGATTCGTTCTTTAAGGTCTTCTACTCGAGATTGGGTTCGTTTGCTCCCATTGAAGACAATGACTTCTTTGGCGAACATCCGCAGGAATTGGTCGACAAAAAGCAGTTCTTCGACACCAAAGAGATTCTCATCGGAACCGACGTCGAAGAAGGTTAGGAACCAATGCAGTGATCCTTTAATGAAGATTTTGTCTCTCTATAGGGGCGTCGTTTGCATCTTACGGACCGCTCGGAAAGTTCCGGCGCAGCGACCGAATTGACGCCAATTTCACGCGACAGACACTCGTCCAGACCTTCAACGAAACCCTTCCTCCAGAAATGCGTCCCTTCATTGAGGCCGTCCTCGACTACATGCTGTCGGACGTCGAGAATACGTCGGACCCCAAAGAGGTGTGGAAGAGATACGTGGAGATCGTCGGCGACGTTGTATTCGTCTGTTCAGACCTCCAATTCATTAACCAATACTCGGCGTCCAATCAAACCGTTTTCTACTACCGTTTCCGACCGAAACCTAAGTTCCAAGCGTTGGGTCCGAAGTGGGCGACGGGTGCCGTTCACTCGGAGGAAGTGGCGTTTGTGTTCGGAATGCCTGTCGTCGTGCAGAAGATGTATACGTTGAGAGAGATAGCACTCAGCGAGGCATTGATGACTGTTTGGACGCGTTTCGCGAAAACGGGGTTTGTTTTGGTCTAAAGAGTAAACAAATCATTGACTCATCGGTTCACTGATTGCAGAAACCCCAACGACGCGTGGCTTCCGTACAGCCAATCGCAGCCGCTCTACATGTCCTTCGATGTGGACAGCAGTCACATGACTCAAGGCTTTCCCGGCTTTAAGTGCGACGACTATTACGCGGAAACGATGGCCAAAGTTCGGGAATTCGCCAGAAGTGGTCAAAGAGTGTCGTTTTGAGTGAGAAATGAGTGTTTGTTTGATATGAGAAAACAATAAATGATTTATTCAACGCAAAGACAATGATTTAAATAAGAGTCGTCTGATTGGCGACTTGTGTTTCGTTCTTGGAGTTGATTCCGCCGGGTTTGCCGAGAAAACTGGTCGCGAGGTTTGTGATCATATGTGGGATACTCGTGAGTTGGGAGAACCAGCTGTTGATGTCCAGCATATTGTTCACCGAACCGTTGGTCGACGCGCCGGAAGCCGAGTCTTGGGCCGCGACTAAGACTGCGGAACACAAGAGGTAAGAGAATGCGAGAGAGAGAGAGAGAGAGAGAGAGAGAGAACGGGAGAGAGAGAGAGAGAGAGAGAAAGTCAAAGACAATGAAATACCGGAACAAAATGCGAGACAAGAGATGAGAAGCAAATTTCGGCGCATTTTCGTATCAAATGAAAGACTCGAACGAAAGGCAAATGTTTTTATGAAAGGTTTAATGTTTGGGAGGAGTTTCGCCTAAAGAGTCAAAGAACTACACAAATGGTGTTCCAAAAGCGTTAATCGTTTTCATAATTGACACGATTTAACGCCAGAGACAAGTGTTTCCTCAATATTCGACACCAAACCCATGAATTCCTATTCTTTCACTAATTTCTGCTTTGATTGCAAATAAATGTGAAATTCAGACAAATAATGGAAACAATCATTTGATGAAAACTTTTAATGAAATATGAATTTATGAGAAAAATGGCGAATTATCACAGAAATTGTTATTTTCCAGAGTACTTGAAATAACTGCTTGTTAATTTTTCTTATCGGTTATTATAGAAAGACATTGAAAACAAAAAACAAGAATATTCTTTAGAGAAATCAAAGAAACACAAAATGTTGAGAATATTCGTTGTTTTGAAGCGAAAAGAAAGACACAAATGATTGAAATTTTGATAAAATTTATTGTTTAATCACTTTTCGGGCAATTTTGCGGTGGCGTTGATGTTGAGCACATTGGAGGCCTGATTGAGGGTCTCGTTGAGTGTGGACACTACGGGACCGTTGATGGTGTGGGCGGTGCCGCCCGTCATCTCCTGGACGACTCCGGTGCCCGAATTGAACGTATTGGAGGCCAAGTTGACGGCCGTGTTGGCCGTGTCGACGGCATTGCCCGACACGTTGCCCATCACTGTGTTGAGAGAAGTGGCGGAGTTGGAGATGAGGTCCTGTGCGGTGCCGAACATCGACTGGAAAGTGTTCATCGCTTGCGCCCACTGTTGCGGCGGATTCTTGGCTGCGAGAAAGCGGAGAGAGTAATGGTTTTGGACGGCGGCGGCGGAGGACTTACCGCTGCAGAGGACGAGGAGAGCGCAGAGGAAGGCAAACCGCGAGACGAAAGCCATGATTAATGAGTGCTTTAATGAAAGCTTTCTCCGCTTTTATGCTCTGATTTTGGGCGGAGTTTAGAGAAAAACAACGAATGGTTTGAAAAGTGTTTTATTGACAACTCTTATAGGGTTTTGTTGGGTTTGACGGGAATGGCGTCGTTGACGAGATTCACGGTGTCGTTCATCGTGTGCACCAACGGCTTCGTCAACAGATCGCTGCTGCCCACCACTGAGTGCACGACTCCTGTGCTCGAGTTCATCACGTTGTTGGTGGTGTTGGACACCACGTGACTCAGGTTGGAGACGGCGCCCAATCCGGTGGCGGCCGAACTGACGGCCGGCTGAACGTTGGCCCAAACGCCGTTCGCCGTCCCGAACATCGAGTCCCAGACCTGCTTCACGTGGAAGCCGTTGTCGGCTAAGGAGCGGAAAGTTAGGCAAAGAAAGCATTTGTTCGAAGCAAAGGACAGACCTTTCGAGAGACAAACCAAAGAAAGCAAAAGCAATTGGAATCGCATTTTGTGTTCAAAACTCAAATCAGAGGTTTTGTTGCGAGAAATCTCTGTTTTGTCGCCTCTTTTAAACACATTTCGTTTGAAAACATTTGCAAAAAAATGAGACTAAAGTTCAATAAACTGCGATTCAGTCGACAATTAGTGCCAAATATGCTAATCATTGAACACCTGTTCCCCAAAACAACCGAAACAAAAGAAATTGAAAACAAGAATTTTTTTATTAATCAAATCTCGGATTCTTTGCGCTATTCTTCGGCGGCGTCTTTGGCTTCAGACGTGTCCAACGTCTTACTCTGGAGCTCTGCGTTCAGCGAATCCATGAGATGCTGCGATTGCTTGCCGTTGTCTCCCATTTTGGTCATCATCTCCATCACGGACTTCATGAGTTCGGAGATCTGTTCGCTATTCATATTTCCGGTCAATTGTTTGACTATATATTCGATGGATTAGATTAGTTAGATTAGTTAATCCGTAATTAGTTAATTAGTTTAACTTGGACCTAATCCATCGAATAGATTGGGAGACATGGCGTCAAAGATGCGCTCGTTTTCATGGCTGTCGTCCGACTGCGAGTTCACTGCATTTGAAAGCAATGAATAAAAGCTCAAAAAAACGCGACAAAACTCACCGAAAGTGAAGAGAAACGCAAACAAAAAGACTAGAATTGGACTCATTTTGGAAATGAGAAGAATCTGTGATTTCAGACAAAACCTACATTTCTTGGCGTTGGGAGGAGTTTTGTGGCCACACCTCAGTGTCTGCAATCACTGCAACTCCAAATCGACACATCAGTCAAAAGCTCTTCAAAAACACAAAAACTCTCAAAATTGTGGTTCAATACAGAAATCGCATCGATTGGGAAGTTTTGTTAACTTAACAGATGTTGACCTCAAAAGAGAGGAAATGAACAAAAAAAAGAGAAAACAATTAAATCGAATGAAAGTTTATTGATTGAGAGAAAGATGTCTTTCGCGGAGCTCTGATTTGGTGTTCAAAAAGACAAAGTTTCCGTCTTTTATCTTATAGGAGAACAAAGAGCGCGACTCTTCGAGCACCTGATTCCGGAAACAAAGAACCAAATTCTTCGTTTCAAACACTTCTTTACGCAGAATCCTCTCCAGGATGGCGCCCACCGTATTGTTCGGACACATCTCCACGGCGTACGACTTCTGGCGGTCGATCCTCACGACCAGTCGGATCTTCTTCTTCACCACAAACAACAACAACGGACTGTGCAGTCGATGGACGCGGTAGTCATCCAGAGTCTTGTTGTCGTCGAGTTCGCGGTTCGCCAGAAAAGCGACCGTTTCTTCGTCCGACTGTTCCATTCGTTGGATGCGTTGCTTAATGATGCGAATGGTTTCGTGAGTGTCCGCGTCCACAATCAGCGTCTTGTCGTCGGTGCGCACCACTAGTCGGCCCTTCGAGTGACTCTCGGCGCCTAAAGCGGTCCTCAAAGCCGTCAATTCGCGTCTCAACTGCTGGTTCTCGTCTTCCAACGCCTCGAGTCTCGTCGAGACCTCCAGAAGCCGTTTGTCGAGGTCTTTGAAGGGACAGCGCGTCTCGTGGTCTTCGAGTTGAGCCATTTTGAGGACACAGAGACAGCCGTTGCGTCGGAATTGGCAAAAGACGTCCAGTTTGGCGATGAGGTTGAGGACGAGAGAGGGGACGGCCTTCACGTGGGTCTGAAGGGCGGGATTGCCGTCGACGGGACAGACGAGCGGCGGTTGGAGACATTTTTGGCAGAAGAGGTGATGACAGGGAAGGAGGAGTTGCGGTGAGAGGACGAGAGCGGCGCAGAGACGACACACGAGCTCTTCGTGCACTTCATTCACCACTCGTTTCAAATCGAAACCCATTTCTGTCGTGACGTCACAATCGGTTGGCTTTTGAGAGAAATTGGTTTCGTTTCTGCGTTTCATTTGCGCGCAAACAATGGCTCTCAAGGGTTGCGTTGCGATAGTGTTGAGCGCGAGAGACGCCGTTTGCGCCGAAACTGCGGTTCACTTGTCGCGAGCGGGCGTTCGAGTGGTTGTTGTGGACAAAGAGGAAGAGCGCGCGATTCAAGTCGCCCAACAATGCGATCGCACGGCGCCCGACGCCAACCGATGGGAACTCGTAGCCGGAAAGTGGGAACAAGTCAATCGCGCGCTTCCCGTGACGGCCGACTTCCGGTGCGAAGACGACTGTCGCCGAGTGGTTGAGCGCGCGGTCGAGCGCTTCGGACGCATCGATCTGTTGGTGACGAAGATGTCTTCGCCGCCCAAACGCCTCCTCGTCGATGAGGGGCTGATGGAGGACTTTGACGCCTTCTTTATGGGCGAACTTCGAGCCCTTCTGTGCGTCACTCAAACGGCGGTTCCGTTTCTGGAGCGCACGCGCGGATCCGTGGTTCACATCTGCGGCCAATCGCGAGCGGTAAGAGAAAGACAAATAAAGACAATAATTGATTGGTTTCTCGGAAGGAAACGTCTGTTTGTGTGCAACGAATGACCGAAAGCGTGATTCAAATGCTAACCAATTGCTTGTCTCTCGAATGCGGTCCGCGATTCGTTAGAATTAACGCCATTTCGTAAGTCTCGTGACGACAATGCCGTCGCTCTGACGCTCTTTTCTTCAGACACTGCGATGACGTCAGAGATGAGGCGCCGAATGGACTCGAAGTGAATCAGCAATTGGTGGACGCGTTCGTCGCGCGGCTTCAACGCAACAACCCTTTGGGTCGTCTGTTCGCCGCGCGTGACGTCGCCGAAGCTGTCGTGCATTTGGCTTCCGGTTCCGCGCAGTTCCTCAATGGCGTCACTCTTCGCGTCGACGGCGGAAACCATTGACTTCTTTATGAATTTATGCAAAATGTTTACCACTTTTGGTTACAAATAGTTTACAAAAAGTTATGCGAAAACAGAAATAATTAAACAGTTTTTTAATACTCTTTTCTATGATTTCTCATACTTTCCTCCCATTTATCTGATATAAAAAATAAGTTATTGAAAAACATCTCAAAAGAAATAATTAAAGTTTCGAAAGTATTGTTTGAGTTTTGAGCGCAAAATGAAGGAATCGGAGTCCAAATGGACGCAAATCCATTTCCCGCGTCTCTGGACGGCCGTCCAGTCGCGCGACACGGAAGCCCTGCGGCGCGAAATGCGACGAATCAAAGAGCAGTTCCGACACTCGGAGCGCGTCCGAGATCTGCGCTCTTGTCTCGAGTTTGTGCGCGAACTGCGAGTCCGACACTTGACTGCTCTCGAGCTCGAGTTCGCTCCCCTCTCGCGCCGCAATCACTCGACAGCCGTTCGCTGCAAAGTGGGCGCCTTTCCGGTGCTCGCGATCGTCGACTCGGGCGCCGATGTCTCGTTCGTCGACGAGGTGTGCATCACGTGATGGACTCGCGGCCGAAATGGCGCCAAAGAGTCGTCGGTTTGAATGGAAAGACGCGTTTTGTGGGTAGAGTTCACGCGCTCGCACTGGAAATGGAGGGCCGGACTTTGCGTTTTCCCTTTTCGGTGGTCAGAGGCGTAACCGAGTCGTGGCTCGTGATTCTGGGAACGGATTTCCTTCAATGGTTTCAATGTTGCGCTGATTTCAGAGAAAAAATACTGTTTTTAGCGAAAATCCGACTAAAAGTTTGTTTTGTTTAATAAAAGATCGTTTGTTTCTATAGAAACATAATTCACAACAAAAATGGTAAGAATTTATCCATTCTTTGACTTCTTTGCTCTCAAGTATTCCTCCGTAGCTCTTGTCGCGCGCCAAACCTGTGGTCGCGCCGACCGTCGGTCCGAATGCGAAGACTGTTCCCGATTTGGAAGAGTTTCTGTCGAATCGCGACTATTCGGGAGCCATTGCTTTGCTTCAGGTATTCTATAATAAGAGTCAAAGCGATTGTCACAGCGTTTCGTCCGAAAGCACAACAAGAAGACGGGAAAAGAGAGTCAAAACGCCGACCAATGGATCGCCTTTTGTCGCTTCCATTTGGCCGAATACAAGGCGGCGCTCGACCTCTACTCGCAACTGCCCGACGCCGACCTCGACGTCGCCGTCTGTCAGTTCTATCTGGGGATGTACTCGGAGGCGAAGACCAGCGCCGAGAAGGCGGCCGACAAGACGTCTGCGCTCTTCACTCGCCTTCTCTTTCATGTGTGCCATAAGTTGGCGCTCGAGTCGCAACTCGTGCTCTTCCACCAAAAGCTCTCGGTTTGTCTCCCACTCCAGGTGTCTGTCGTCTGACAACTGTCTCCTTAGGACTCAGTGGAGGACCAGTTGTGTGTGGCGTCGATGCACTTCCTGCGCGCGCACTATCAGGAGGCCATCGACGTCTACAAGAAGCTTCTGCTCGAGAGCCGCCATTTCGTCGCTCTCAACGTCTACATCGCGCTCTCCTATTATAAGGCGAGAATCCATTCAGAAGTCTTTTATTCTAACCGTTGTTTGCATTCACAGCTCGATTACTACGATGTCTCTCAGGAAGTGCTCCAACTCTACGCGCAACAATTGAGTTCACTCTTCATTGGTTTCTTTCATTTGAATCTTATTTTCTTCCAACAGTTCCCGGAGAGCGCGACGGCAACCAATCTCAAGGCTTGCAATCACTACAGACTCTATAACGGAAAGGCGGCTGAGGTTTGAGAGAGAGAACAGAACTTCCGGTTCCGGAACTCAACTTCTCTCCCTCTACAGCAGGAGCTACGGAACCTCATTGACGCCATTCCGCCCGCATTCACGTACGCGCAGGACCTCATTCGCCACAATCTGGTCGTCTTTCGCGGCGGCGAAGGCGCCCTCCAAGTGCTGCCACCTCTCGTCGACGTTCTGCCCGAAGCCAAACTGAACCTGGTCATCTACCACCTCAAGAACGGTAAGAGCCGTCGCGCCGTCTGTCCATCTCTCTCACCGTTTACTCGCAGACAACGTCTCGGAAGCGAATCGTCTCATCAAAGACTTGGATCCGTCGCTTCCTCACGAGTACGTTTTGACGGGCGTCGTGAACGCGGCCGTCGGACAGTCGCAGGGATCGCGCGAACACCTCAAGATGGCGCAGCAGTACTTCCAGATGGTGGGCGGCAGGTAAGGCGTGCGCACTCGTGGCGACCCCTTCTGAGCAGAGATGTTGTCTCCCTCGCAGCGCCTCCGAGTGCGACACAATTCCCGGGCGACAGTGTATGGCCTCGTGTTTCTTCATTCTCAAGCAGTTCGACGACGTGTTGCTGTACTTGAGTTCAATCAAGAGCTACTTCTACAACGACGACACTTTCAACTTCAACTTCGGACAGGCGAAGGCCGCGACCGCCAACTTCCGCGAGGCTGAGGAAGTACTGCTTCTCGTGCGTCAGGAGCGCCTCACCAACGACTACGTGTACGTCAGTTGGCTCGCGCGCTGCCGTAAGTACACTATCCCTGAGTTGACGGAGATTCTGACTCTTCTTCGGCAGTCATAATGAATAAGAAGCCGCGCCAGGCGTGGGAACTCTACCTCAAGAGAGACAACTCCGCCGAAGCCTTTCATTTGCTGCAACTCATTGCCAACGACTGCTATAAGGTTTGCCTTAAATCTGTCGGCTTTCAGACACTAATGGTTTAATTGTGGCCAAAGATGGGACACTTCTTGTACGCCATGAAGGCGTTCGACGCGCTCCACAAGCTGGACCCCAATCCCGAGCACTGGGAGGGCAAGAGGGGCGCGGCGGCCGGCGTCCTGCAAATGGTGATCGCCGACAAGGAGCCCAAGTAAGTGTTGAGAGAGCGGCGAATGCGAGGACTAAACGCCGACTGTTTTAAGGGAGTCGGTGGGCGAAGTGCTGCGACTGTTGCGGAACGCGCCGAACGGGCAGTCGAGCGGAATGGTAGTTGCGATCAAGAATTGGGCGAAAGAGGCGAAAGTCATGGTTTGAGAGTTTATTGAGAGATAAATAGGAAAATGTGTAGAAATGATGTAAAAATAAAAACTATTTACAAAATGAATGACTTTTTTGACTAGTCTTTGAATACTACTGTTGAGAGCGCGAGTCTCTCTTTCCACACGCGGTGTAGGGCTTCGCACACGAACCTGAGGGCAAACAATGCAAACAACATTTGAGCGAAATTAGTAGAATTTCTATAGGAATTGCATACAAACTGTACCATAGGTTTAATATATGTTTTGTTTAAAGTTTTATTTCTAATCTCTCGACAAATAATATATGAAACAAACCGGAACTGCGCCGACGTCTGGATGAGCATTGCCCGCTGTTCACGCATTTCGCGCACCAGATCAAGCGCGTGGATCGCCTCCGAGGCCTCCATCAGACACAGCGCCGTCTCCATGAGAATGAGAACTCCCGTCCGTCCGATGCCGGCGCTTGGGTTGGCAGTGGTGGCAATGAGAGAGGGGTTGGCGACAAACGACAGAATGGTCTTACCTGCAGTGCACGACGAACGGGTGGTCCGGGAATTCCGTTCGGAGGCGGCGAACGGCGAAAATGAGTTCGAGGAAGTCGTTGTGTTTGTCGGGCACTCCGTGGTCGGGCCAGGCCAGGTACTGGAGGTGACGCACGAGTCGCTCCTCCGAAGTCTACGAGAGGGCGAGAGTGAGACGAAAGACACGCAAACGGCGCGAAAACACACCTTTTGGTCGCAGAGCCGGAAGTGACGCTCTGTCGTCGCCGAGTCGTCGCTCTGGAAGACGAGACGCACGCGCAGAGCGCCGAACACCGAGAGCTCGTCGTCGGCTTCGGGCCAATACTTGTGGCACTTCTTGCGACCCTTTTCCTCGAGAGGGGTCACCATCACGACGAGAGGGCACTTCTGCTCCCAAACCATTTGCCAGAAGTCTTCAGTGGTCTCCTGGAGGGGTCCCTGAGTGGCGATGTATCTGAAGAGAGGGAACGGGAGGTTAGAGTTTGAGGTCGGCAATAGAGGGCGCTTTTCACCGATTGATTTGTTGCGGCGCTTGCATTGTGACGAACGACGCGTTGATGTAATCGCCGGTCAGAGAGTCGTTGAGAACGACGCGCGTGGAGTCGTCTGTAGACAGAGAGATGACGTCAGTAGAGGGCAGAGACACGTGACTACTCACAGGGCGAGATGTCGCGGTAGCGGTTCTTCGAGAGGTTGTCGGAGTGACGCGCGCACGACATGGACTCTCCGTTCTTCTTGCGGTTCAGTTGCTGTCCAGAGAAAGGGATTGTTATTCGAGTGAAAGAGTGCTTAAGAGAGAACTCACTTCGAACTGAAGGACAAGACTTCCGCTTTCGAGGCCTTCCTCTAAGAGAGCCATCGATTCGGACAAAGCGTCCAAAACTTCCGGTCGAGAAGTGGGCGACGCGTCGGCCGGAATGTACTGAAATGCCGGCTCTTCGGGCAGAAGGGCATCGCGCGCGTACACTGAGGAAAGGGAGACGCGATTAGAGCAGTGGAAAGGCGGGCAAAAAGCGCACCGTTCGGTCGGATTTGGAGCACGAGCTGCGCGTCGGGTCCGGAGTCGCGCGTCGATCGGATCAGTTGGACGATCTGTTCGTGGGAAAGGCCCGTGACGTCAGAGCCGTTGATTGTCATGACCTGATCGCCTTCGCGCAGTCGCGGACTCGCGTTGTCTGCGGGCGTGTTGGGCGCGACACGTGACACAAGAACGGGACAGTTCTGGTCGTGACCGCCCTTCACGTTGAATCCGAAGCGGCCGTCGACGTCGGGCGTCATGTGAATGGCCACCAAATGGACGGGGGACGAGTCGTCGGACAGAGCGGCCGAAAGTCGGTTTTCAGCCGAGTCTTTGTCGATGAAAGGCAAGGACTTGAGAGACGGACAGAAGGCCGAAGAGCTGCGGAGGAAAAGGCAATAGAATGGGTAAACACACAATAGAATATGACAGACCTGTTGAGCGAGAGCCAGGCGCTTTTGGCGGGAGATTCGGTGCTCTGGACGCGCGCAGTCTTGGGGTCGCCGTTGTGGTGGAGGATTGCGCGCGAAGACAGCATCAGATTATTGATGTGCGGAATGGGAACCGTTTGGCGCGTGAAGCGGTTGGTGCGCGTGCGCACGAATGCGCGGTCGGCGCGCGATAAGCGCTTCCGGTTCTCCTCAATGGTCTGAAACTCGGTTTTTCCGGAATAACGGAATCGCGAGCCGAGAGAGAAGAAGAAGAAGAACTTCTTTGTGTGCGGTTTCGGGGACTGGAGGCGGAAGAAGGTGTGCTGCTCGACGCACGCCTTCCACAGCGATTTACACGTCCTATAGGAGCACGAGTTGAAGCCCAGCAGCGAATCGAAGCGCTCGGTCTGTGAGAGGGGCGGAGCTTCGGATGAGACGCCCGAAGAGTGGAGGCAAACAATACTCACGCCCTCGCGCCGCAACTGCACGAAGAAATGGCGCCTTTTGAAGGAAATCTTAACGATTTTGGCCCACGAGAAGTGCGACACCTTTTGGCCGGAATGCAGAACCAAAAGACCGTTTCCCGAAACGCCGATTTGGATCTCGCGACCGGCCGTGTCTTTCGCGCGGTGCAGTTCCACGCCATACATGTCGAGGCGTTTGGCCTCTTGCAGGAAATGGAGTTCCGCGTCGGCCGGCGTTTCGCCTCTATGTAAACGATGCATATCTGCGACCGTTTTCTCGAATTCCGGCGTTTGGTTCGCAACGAGTTTGAGGCCAGAGATGTATCCAGTCTTGTGGTCGTCGGCGCAGAAGTCGCCCAA